CTGGGCCGGCCTTCGTGAGGGGGAGCTGGCGGAGCGGAGGGTAGCTCTGAGGGGAGAAATAAAATGTAGAGGTGCACTTGTCTCCTGGGGCGCAGGGCCCGGGGCGCCCCTCTGGAATAGACGTCCCAGGAGAGGACAGAACTTCATTATGAGGGTTTTTCCTCCTCTTGATCTATCTAGTGGTCAGTTACAGGTGGAACTGCAGTGTTCCCTTTTCCTTCCAGTAGATGCATAGACTAAGGTGCTATGAAATAGCAGCCTGTCCTGGCATAGAATTCAATGAAGTGGGGCTCTATTTGAAAAAAAGGGAAAAATAGTGCGTATTCATCACTCATTAGCTATCTGCACTGCAAAATAAAGAACATATTGCAATATTGACCAGGTTAATATTGCATTAGGTTAATGCAAATGCTAAAAGAAGCCTGGGAATTACCAGGATCTACTAACTCAGAATTTCAGACGTCCTTTTCTTAAAATGTTACTGTTAAAAATTACTCCACGTTAGTTTTTAGTTTTGTAAAAATGAAGAAAAGTAATTGCATATTAATACTTTAATCATACAAAGCAAAAATGAGTTTTGTTTCTGAAATAGCATTGCTGTGTTCATCATATTTAGCAATAGCTGGAAAAACTGGTGAGTCTGCGGGAACTTGTGATACCAAGCTGTTTAGTAAAACCAACAGCAGGCTGTGAGGAACGAGAAGAAATCTAACAAGGTGACTACACCAAGGTTGCATGTAAAATTTGCTCAATTGCAAATAAAATCTACTGTTGAAAATTTCAAGATGGTGCATAAGGGAAGGGATAACTAATTCCTCAGAAAATAGTTGGTATGTTCTAAAACAAGGATGGCTACTTTGGAAACGCATCAGGCTGAAGTTCTCACTGAGCTGCCTGCGATGCTGGAGAAGTGCATTGAAGACAGAAGAAACAAACTGCATTAAAATATATACAAAATGAGATTAGGAGTATTACTAAATATATTGTGATCGCTCTTTTGTGAAGCACGGTGGTGTCCTCACCCTGAACACATTTTCAGATTTGGGCCATTTTGGAATACACCCCCGTAATCCAGTTTTGGGTGACTAATGCCATCACACTGCACCTGTGCAGGCTGTCCCCAGCCCTGCTGCAGCCCTTGGCACGACAGGGGTGGCCCCCAGGTGGGGGAGCACGGCTGTCTGTCCGTCCCTGCGCTGACAATGGTGGTGGGACTGCAGGTCTCCGTGGGCTTCGCTCAGCTGCAGCAGCGTAGGCAATATCTAAGCTGCGTCAAGTCTGCCAGGGCAGAATTGCTTTTCAGAAATGTTTTGACCAAATTTGAACCAGGGGAGTTTATTCATCCAACGCGTTGCGCCATGAGGCTCTGGTGGCTTTGAATCTGGCACTTGGAAATAGGAAGACTTGCCATTGCAGGAAGCCGGGGGTGAGGGGTCCCTCCCTCCCTGTGCAGGCAGTGGGGAGGAGGGAGTCCTCCGCTGGGCATGCGGGAGTGTTTTAATTAGACTCCCATTAGCTTTTCTTCCCTGGCTGCGAAGGAGGCTTGGGAGTCCAGCCAGACAATTCAGCCAGCTAAATCAGATGTCTAAAAATGGATGAAAATACTTTGAGAAAGGACTTCTGTGTGACAGGAGACTGAAAGATGACCTTGTTTATCGAAGGGGAAAAGAAAAAAAGCAACACAACTGATGGGTGTAAAAGGAGGAATGATACAGATACTGTAAGTCTTGCTTTCCATGCACAAGTGAATGGCAGGCAGATGATAGACAAAGACAACGCATTTAAGTCTTTCAAAATGAACAT